TGACAATACAAATGACTTAGAAAGCACTCTTTTTTTTTACTCGGTGAATGACACATCTACATTTGTAGACTAACTTTCGTTATAACTTAACGAGAGCTAGTACATCCTAACAGAAAACGTAATACCCAAACCAATTACATCCATGAGCGGAGCAGTGCAAGGAATGAGTATCCGCGTAACCCGAACAGGAGCGCTAAATGAATGAAGTTAAGCGAAAGAAGCTCCATTGATTTTCTGCACATCATTTTCTTGGGACTTATATGGGTTAACTTTACCAAAACTCTATCGTCTTCAAAACTATACGAGTGGCCATCATAAAAAAAAAACACCATTTTTCTCTTGAGCAGAAAAATAGATTTTAAGAATGAGAGACTAAGTACATGGTGGAGTCTATTCAAAATCCAACAAGATCATTATTTTTGAGATATTTTTTACAATATGAAAGTATTTTCTTTAAAACTTTGAAATCTCAAATTTTTGATCAAATTTAGCAGTTTATTGATGCATGAATTTGTCGGGATTCAAAGGAGATTAAATGGCTTCATTTTGAACGTGCGATATTGGACATAATATTGTTATAGCTGATTTGCCAAAGGATGACATAAACAGAGGTTTTCTAAAACAAATGAAGAAAATAATAAAAAAGTCCGAGTTCAAGAAAAGTACTAAGACTCTTAAATCAAATCTCATATGATCTGGAAGCCAATGGCGAGAATTTCCATAAATGTTCTATAATATACAAAGACTTATTGATAAAATGTCGGTCGGTGTACTTTATATGCCGCATTTGTGTATTTTGTTATAATGCCGATATATGTAACGATTTTGATATAGATAGTTCTTAATTTAAAAATGCATAAACATAAAAAGAGTTTTACAAAACAACTTTACATTTTCTATTTTCTGTGCTAGTTTGATAGAATTGACTAGTTTCCAGAATTTACTATGTAAGGCTAATATGGTTGCCCTTCGTTTTCAAAAGCTGTTAAAAAAAYTAAATAGGAGCCATTTGTACATGGTCTTTAGCTTAGTGAGAAAGACAAAAGATAGTGACTTTAAAATTATTTAAGATGGACTACCATTTTTTCGCGCCTGCTGGTATTTTAAATCTAAAATAAAAAAAACACATTCTCAGTTTACTAATGTGCTCAAGTTTTTAATTCCATTAGCACTATGCTTTTCTTTTCATGAACTCTCTTAAAAATTGATATATAAACTGTATAATATTTAACAAATATTTCAGCGATATTACAACCATTTTTTTTTTTCTCAGTGTGAAACCATTATTACTGCGATCAACTAGACCTTCATCACAAACGAAAAATTGAGTTTGGGCGGAGGTCAACCAAAGGGTTTCATCGTTTCTATTGGACTGGCGTGAATACTCACGTGAACAAGTACAAAAAACCTTTGTCCTTATATCTCATGCTGCTTTTCGCTGCGAGTTTCTCGCTCTGGACATATTTTCTCAAAAATGTCACAGGATTCGATCCGGCTCCGAATCTCAAACGCTTGACTGCAAAACTGTCGCAATGATTATGACTGTTTGAGTTACTTCAAGATCAGATAAGTCAATACCGATAGCTTTGCAGTTAAGCGTTTAAAATTCGAAGTGGGAATTTTTAAAAAACCCTTTTGATTGACGTCCACCCAAACTCAATTTTTCGTTTATGACTTAGGTCTCAGGTAGGTTGCGTGTGACTGGGAATCGCAGTAAACACTAAACACTGAACTATTTTAAGCTTTTTAAACTTATACAAAAAATATAGATTAAGGCAAAAATTGAACTCTTAATTTTCCATAAATTATTTCTACAAAATTTGAAGATTTGTTTTAGCAATGTTTCAAATAATGGGAAGGAAAATCTTTCAAGCTTTTATCACCAAAGCATTCGTCGATATTTGCCTTAGATTTATGTTCTCTGGTGTCTAAGAATGTAGGTGTTGGCATAAGTCATTTGAAATAAAAAGCTTTCTTGAATTTTAGTTTTTATATATATGTCCGCCATCTTGGTTGATTTTCACAAAGACATTATCTCTTTTTGTTACGTTATACACCTACTTGCAAGAACGCTGTCATACGAAAATAGAACATCAGTGATTTAGTGGTATAGGAATTATATTAAAAAAACAAAAGAAGATCACTGAAGCTGAACTTTTTCTTTTGTCTTTTAATGTATTCCTTTCTCACTAATAAAATTATTAATGTTCTAATATCGTATGACAGACAACGTTCTTGCAAGTAGGCGTATCTCGGATCAACCAAAATAGCCGCCATCTTTTCGAGTGCTAAACAATAGAACGAAGCTATTGCGTTACTGCGTTGTTGTTATATTGTCGGTTTTATAAGCTAACAGGTCCTGTTCTTTTGGTACATGTGATCTAACAATTATCTAGTTCAACAATATCAATATAAAAAAGTTATTTGTGCTGCAATCCTGGCATGGTCGCAAAGTTGGTCAATATATAAACATAACAAACAAAGATGGCGGCGACCACGTGAGGTTTTTTGTCGATTCATTCAACATCAATAAGTGTCACATGTGATGTAAAAAAGTTTACACAAAAAGCTACCTTAGAAAAAGAAAACCGGGCGGTGGCATTAAGTTGCTGCTAATTTTTCGCGAACCATTAGCTCTCTTGTGAGAAATACATGGAATAAATATTTGAATTTTTTTGGAACAGCTTTCTTTCTTTCTTGCTTTCTTTCTTGCTTTCTTTCTTGCTTTCTTTCTTGCTTTCTTTCTTCCTTTTCTATCCTTTCTTTGTCTATTCTTCCCTTTCCCTATCGATCGTTTTCGTTTCGTTGTTTCTCCTCTCCTCGCATCAGTTCTCACGAGCATCCGTTCACCACGCTTGGCACACACCACGTGCAGCTCAGCTTCTCTTGAACAATAACAACCCCATTACAAGACGTTAAAATGTCACCGCTGTCAGGGGGAAAATTAATAAGATTCGTGTATAAAGCACACCGCATCAACAGATGTTCTTTTCTCATTCATCCTACTCTATTTACGTTTGTTGAGGCCGGGTTTCTTTCAAACTACCAACCAAAAGTACACCCTTGTTAGTTACAGCGATAATTTTCCCTCAGGGGGGCAACACCCCCTCTTAATAGTAACGAAGTTAGTTATAGCTTTGCTACAGTAATGACGTCGATTGATATAATTAACAGCTCGCCATGAGAGAATACAACAAAAAATGAATTAAGACGGCACATCGATCACCTTTACACACAAAAAATGAACTAAGAAAAACAAACGAAACTCTATATACTTCCCACTATCTTTGTTTTGTTTTTCCCCCTGGCAAGATTGCTGCCGTATCATCGAAGTAGTCCATTGATGTAGTATCTGGTATAGCGTGTTACTGATTATTTTTAGAGCCGCTGTCAAAACGATGACAGCGTTGCTACGTTACGCCACGCAGGCGCGACAAGTATAACGTCCTACATCGGCAGACTTTATTTTTCTCACACTCCACCAAAACAAAAGGAAAATAGACTCTGCTAGCAGAGAAGTATACAGTTTAGCGCTTCAACGACATACCTATCATGGAGCAACATAAGTTCGCATTCATTGATCTATATTTTATGTATTAAAATTATTGTTCTATTTTTGCAGGATCACAAACACAACAAACATGAACTCCCACAAGAATTTCACCGTGGTTCGTGTGTTGGGCTATGGTGGGCATTCGTTACTATGACAACAGTAGGGTAAGAGCTACTTTTTTTTCTCGCTCTTTACGTGGGTAATCATGGCCTAGAGCTCGTTATTAGGACATGCTTGGCTCAGTAAGCTGGTTTCGCGTCCTTCAGAACTAGAGGTCCATGGTTGAATCCTCGATCTCCACGTCTGTTTCCACTTCTCTGTGTTCTATGTAGCTTTAGCTCTAAATACCCATAATAATGATCGCTGATAGTCTAAGTGGTTAAAGGGCGCACCTTCAGGTGCTTTATACATGAGCCTTTGGCTCATGAAAATTAACTAACCATTCCTTGCATTATCGAAGTAAAAAATTAGAGACCTTTAGCACGACGTCATCGCAAAACTCAAACTGCAGTTTGACGTCAGGCGTTTTTCGTCACACTTTCGACATTTAGCAAGGCGTCACAACGAAGTTGTTGCTGGAAGAGCCGCCATTTTGAATTTCATTGATGCCTATTGTTCCTCCGTGTTTGCCGGCATGTTTCTGGGCCTTATTCCTAGCATTAGTGCTTAGCAGTTAGCGTTAAACCTATTAATAGCTTAATCTTTTTACCTTTTTTATTTGTATGAAGCAGCTGTTGTCGTTTTCTTCTAATATGAATCGATCCTCACTTTCCTTAGATACGGAGACATCGCTCCCAAATCCTTCAGAGGTCGACTGTTTGCTGTAATCTGGATGATTATCGGATGCATCGCCCTCACACTATTCAACGCTCAGCTAACTGCAATGATAACCAGTAATGAATTGCCTAATGAAATGAACCTTATTGGAAAACAGGTTAGAAAAAAATGTCCCTAGGTATCTTAACTGTGCCTTGGTCGGTTAGTGTGCTACCTGCTAAGCAAGAGGTCCATATTTTGATCCTCAGTGACCTCATACCCTTGTTTTAAGGAGCAAGTGTGGCTTGGTTGGTTAGTCTACTGCTTGCTGAGCAAGAGGTCCATAGTGTGATCCTTTGTGACATCACACACTTGTTAATCAAGGAGCAATTAAGTGTGGCTTGGTTGGTTACTGTGCTGCCTGCTAAGCAAGAGGTCCATAGTTTGGTCCTCAGTGACCTCACACACTTGTTTTAGTGAGCAAGTGTAGCTTGGTTGGTTTGTATGCTGCCTGCTATTGATAAAGCGGATTTATTGTTCTAGATTGTAATCCCAAGAGGAGGGAAGCCATTTTTAGAAGAAGAATTAAATCTAGGTGCAGAATATCGTGGTAAGTTGACGTTAAACGTGTATAAGTCACTTTCGGGTTGAGGAAAAAACTGGGGTCGATTTGGTATTGCATTGCACTGTAGGACTGTTTTAGGGAGTGCAATAGACGCCATTGATTGATTGATGACTTTATTTAATGAGGGTGACACGCGACAGTAATTTTGTTAACTGCTCAACTTGTGGCACTAGAAGTTTAGCACGGGCACTGAAGATGTTCGTCACCAGCGTCTTCAGTGTGTCTTTTACGTCCGCCTTATACAGGTTTTAAGTCCTTGTCAGAGATATTATTACCGAGAAAGGCAGCTATGTTTCCTCAGTTATTTTAAGACCCTGAGTGTTGGTCCGGCCGAGGCTTGAACCACGACCTTCCGCACAACAGACCGACGCTCTTACCAACTGAGTTAATCGGGTGGCGGTGAAATATCTTGGAAATGTGTTCCCTTAAACAGTCCCACAATGCACTGCAATGCCAACTCTACCCATTTTCCCCCTCAACATCAAATGGCTGATTGTAGGGTTCAATAAGGGATTGGACTTTGATATTGAATGTAGTGGTAGTGTGTGAGTGAGTGATAGTGGGTCATTTGGGAAACCAGTATTGAATATGTTCGTTCACCCCGCTACAAGTACAAAACGGATGATGATGATTGATGTTTATGGTCAGTGATGATGGCAATTTATGTTGCTAATCCTTGTTAGCGTGTTATGGTTTGGTGAGAAAAAACCCTCGAATCAACGGATAGACCTAACAAACTGTACTCACGCGCATGTGATGCAAAGTCCAGGAGTCTAACCCGAGACTCCAGAGCTAAGAGACGAATAAACAAATGCTACAACACCCTTGATTCTTCGAATTCTTTACATACCGCATGCTTAATTGTTTGAATTTCTAGAGGAGGATTTTAGTGACCTTCTAACCAAGATCAGAAAGAAAACAGACGATATAATGATGACGTACAATTATTGGGAAATCAAGATGGCTCAGACATACGGGGAACAAGCAACGGGAACCAAGACTAGAATCAAAGTAATCAAGACCATAGATCACCGATTCACTATTGGTATAACGGCTTCGGGAAACATCACCAATACAGGAAATTTCCTGAAGTGCTTTGAACGAGAAATTGTAGATAGCATTATCGTAAAAAAGGTAAATGCTTGAAAAAAAATATTTTTGGGGGTTAAAAAAATGGTCCAAAATAGGGACCCAGTTTTTTTGGGTACAGGAAAACACRCCCTCCTCTATAGTGACCTGTTGAGATTGTCGATAATGGATGTCCGTTACGTTACTGCGATTCCCAGTCACACGCGACCAACTAGACCTTTATCACAAACGAAAAATTGAATTTGGGTGGACGTCAATCAAAAGGGTTTCTATCGTTTCT